ATTGACCCAAAGGATTATATACCAAAGTTTATAGACTGAAATTTATATGAAAAACTGAGATTAATTTCAAGATTAAAACACCTTACCTAACTTCTGCCAAGAGACCCATTGTTACAAAAATTAAGAAGGTACATAAAAAAATCTCACAAAATTCTACTACAGAACTACAGTTAATATTTAGTACTTAGCCTTCTAAACTCTTCTCTATACATATAGATATACATATTTTATATAAATATAGGATCATTTTAATATTTTAAAAACTTATAAAATCATTTTAAACTATACATAGTAATGCTCTTTAACAATGTGAATTCAATGTCAAATTTTTATCATATAGTTCCTTTATCCAAAATCTTATGTTAAACACTTGAGTTAATCTTACTACCTTAAAATCAAAATTATTAAAAATATTCCTACAGCTATATCTTTATACATAACGATTGTTTTAGCATAAGTCCCTTGAGATGTCATTGCTGGGTCAATGCCATATTAGTTTCTAAATTTTACTAAATAATTTATTAAATCACTGTCTTAAACAATACTGCTGTTTCACTTTTTCTCATCAATATTTAAAGTACTGATTCCCCATACTTAGATCAACATTAGATTTTACTATAACAATTTTTTTTCCTAAATTGGTAAGTAAAAGTGTATTCATTGTTCTACTTCATTTTTCGTTATTAGTAATAAGTAAAAAAAATTTCCTATGCTCACTAAACATGTTTTCATTTCATTTTTCATTCCAAGAAGATGTCTATTTATGCCTTTTATACCTTTATAGAGGCCACTTCTCATAAGTTAAAACTCTGCCTCTCACATCATTCCAAGTTCAGATACCCATCCATGTTCATTTAAAGTTAGGTTGGTTCATAGGACTATACTAGGTCACTATCTACAATTAAGACTAATGATACTCTTACATCCATTTTTTTCTTCAATTTTAAATTTAAAAAAGGGGGAAAACAGAACCCTACWTGTCCCTGCTAAATTTCACAAAGTTATTTTAAAAATTACTTTAAATTGTGATACTAAAAGTCTTACTACTGCTGAGCAACACATGGAACAATGGGATAATTCAGATTTCAAAGGGTAGACTCTAAACCAGCCATCTTGGAAATGGCCAAAAACCCTGATACAAGAGGGTAAATCTTCAACCACAGTGTTTATAGCTATGTAGACCTTGTGAGCTATCACAAAAGTGAAATCTATAGAGACTTCTATAGACCTATTCCTCAAGTCCACCTCTAATGTCCCTTACAATGTGGACAGGATAATCCATCCCAGTATTTATTAATGATACTCATAGATGGGTGGTCTTACATATATATATACTTATATTACACCCATCCATGTGACTAGATTTAATCATACTGGCTACAGTAGGAACCTAACTATATGTTGGTCCCATAATAAACATATTGGCTATTTAATGGTAACTTTTGAGGAAAGAACAACATAGGAGGGACCTAGACCAACCATTCATACTGGTCCTTAGAACTTAATATTGTATTTATATGTCTGGATGGTTGTTAAAATAGAATGATTGTTGGGCTGAGGTTGTGGCTTAGTGGTAGAGTACTTGCCTAATGTGGGTGAGGCACTGGGTTTGATCCTCAGCACCACATAAAAATAAATAAATAAAAATAAAGGCATTGTATTCACCTACAACTAAAAAGAAAAATAGAATGATTATTGAAATACAATTTTCTCATAACAAGCCAGTTATTTCCACAGAATATCTACCAATATTTTACTGCCCCAATCATTTGAAAATAGAATTTGGCATCTCTCCTAAACTAATATGATATACAAATGCTTTGCCAGTGCAACATAAAATCTCTAATAGTGATAAATAAGTTTTCAGTTAACCTTCAAAAATTGATAAAAGGCAATCATCAAGATGCCACTTCCTATAAAAAGTCTAAAGCCAAGAAGGCTTAACATGGAAATACTGCCATTAAATGTGTTTCACTTCTACTTCTTAAATTTGCAAACAACCATATTTAATTTGGTAAAATATCTAAGAAGCTAGAAATGTAATTGAGTTATCTAAAACAATTTTCAAAATATAAAAATAAGGTTAGATATACTATTATTTTGATTCTTTAAAAATCTGTATGATTTAGATTATTCCCTATTGTTTGGGTATTATTTACAGCCATATAATCAAGGCCAAATTAAAGCCTGGCAAACCAATTGATGTTACACTAGAAAGATCAATAATTCGCATTTGGATTTATAAGAGTCATTTCTTATTTGATGAAAATTTGGGTCCTATATGTCTTAGTGTATTCTTTCAGGCTTATATCTGTCTTCATATTCACTATATTTATGGACATAATTCATTCTCTCATGATTTATGACCCCTGAAAATTTCACTGATAATATTCTAACCTTCAGGGAAACTGATATTTAAAAAGGTCTCTGGCTTTTAATTACTGCCTCATTTTCTCCATCTTACAAATGACCCCATATCTAACTTTATAGGCAGGAACCAAAAAGAGGGTTCCTACTGTGGCCCATGAGCCTATATTTAATCCTCTTATGTTTTAATTATTGGATATATAGAAATAAAAAATGGATAATAGATATCCTGCAAATTGTAAAAAATGTTATCTAACTAAGCTCATTTTCTTAATAAGTTGGCTCAAGATATTTCTAAAGTCCTATGCAATCAGGTAAGTATTAATAAGAGTTTACAACTAAATTGATTGTTCTAAAAGCTATTATAGATATCAATAATAAGCTTTCTACTCTCAAATTCAAACTAGTGCTTAAATGCCAAGCTAAATATAAGTAGGCCTGTATTACTACAGTCAAAATTTTATGTTTCCCAATGATATTTGGAAAAAATTATAAATTATCTGATGGATGTTTGGCATAATAATAAWAATAGCTTAAAACCTCATGGTTATACATCAGAGCATCCAGTATACTTAAAAAAGCAGGATCAATCTCATGGGCCCTGCATCTCTAGCTGATCAAATACTTTATAAATTAAATGGCTCCCATCTTGGAAACATGTTAAACCATTCTTCATGGTATATTATTGGAATAATATGTTTGCTACTAATTCTCTTTTCTATTGTGATAATAGGTTGTCGCACCCTCAGTACAAGAACCCAGGAACTTGAAATAAAGCTCATCATTTACATTTGCAAAATAAAAAGGGGGAATATGTGGAAAGCCATCTGTGAAATACTTGAGGATTTTCTCCCAGCATGGAGCCAGGGAGATTTAGATTTGGGAACTATCTCTCCCATGGAACTAGATTGCCCAATGCACATGACCTTTATCACTTTTATCTCTGCTCTGCTAGGAAAGTTCCCCCATAGGAGCTCTAGAGATGGTTGTAACCTGTTAGAAATGGAACAGCCCACATTTAACCTTTATTGGTAAAGAACATTCTATGGAAGGCCTTTAATGTTTCTCAATATAAGTAAAGCAGGCGTGGGCTTCATTTTGCCATGGTCTATAAGCTCAATCCGTCTGATCAACTTGCCCATCCTGCCCGTAATTTTGAAACTACTTTCTGTGTTCTGTGGGKTTTTTTTCGTCGTTCTATTTTTCTTAGCTTTTATTTCTCAGCCAGCCCATTTCATTGAGGGGAACCCCATTTCCACTGCCTATGCTACTGGCCTCCAGTACCTGGAAGGAATAGACCAATTGGTCCTTGAGGCAGTACAGTTCATCCTCATCACCTGAGTACCTTGAGCTGCATACCAAGCTGAGTATCAAGACCCGTTTTCCCAGGCATATCTTAGCTCTTTCCAAACCTCCTTCACCCAGTACACCAGGTACAAACAGTTCTTGGCAGGGGCCTAGTGGGCCACCTCTCCCCATGTGTCCCTCTACCATGCTCTGGAGTGCCAAGCCCTCATTCAGTAATGGTCCTCCTCTGCCTTCTGTTTGAATGACTGGGATGACAGTGAGATCCTAGTGTGGGGGCTAGGGTTTTTCTAATGGGAATACCGAGAAAGTATAAAGAAAAGTGAAGGGCACAGAGACACACTCCGAGACAAGAGTTGATGGAAACCTAGTGAGTGTATACCATCTCCCAATCCCCTACTCTACCTTTGGTGCTGCCCCACCTCTTTGGCTTTCTTCCTTCTTGCCCCCCCTTTCCTTTCTTCCCTCTCCACTCTTTTCCCTCTTCCTCACTTTCCTCCCTCTGTTGCTGCCACCACCACCTGTCTTCACCAGCTGACATGCCCTTTAATGCCTGCCACAGTACCATGCCTGCATTCCACAGGGGACTTGGGCAAGGAACCCGAAGGTAGGTGAGAACTGACCATCTGGAGGCCAGGCAGCCCCAGAGGAGAGAGACACTGCCTGCCCTTCTTTCCTTCTAGATCAGATAAACTTCTTGTTTCTTCCTCCACAGTGATGCCAGGGAGGTGGGAGGAAGAAGTGGGAAATTTCCCTTCCCAGAATCCCAAGAATTTCTGAGCTTTCCATGATGCTTTTTTTTCATGGATAAAGTATACTTTTATCTTATAAAATCAACCAATTAAAAATGACAACAGCATTGGCTCTGGGAAGGTGGCATCTCTCTGGTTTGGTAGCAGTTCCCTGACCAAGGAACATGGAAGAGGAACAAAGATATGTTTCCATGGTCTTCTGGCCTCCAACTCCACAGAGGAGGGCAGAGAACCTAGAGTGTGAACAAGGTGGTGGGTGGTGTTTGGGTGKAATATGCCAGGTGCCAAACTAGCTTTGGACGATGAGACCCAGCTCTGCTGCTCTACTCTGGCTTCCACCACCACTACTAGACCCTGGAATCTTAAGATAGGAAGCATCTGCAGCTGCTACCCAGGATTTGAGTGTAGAAAGTTGGAGCAACCTCAGCAGATGGGGCACCAATTCTTGGCAAAAGCCAAAATAAATAAATAAATAAATAAATAGACATAATTTTTATTTCTTACCAGGGCTTGTTACATGGTGTTTGCATGTTCCTTCACTATTGTTTTTAAGTATGTTGTTGTTTTCTCTTACAGATCTACAATACTTTTCCGGCTCTCATCGATTATCTTCCAGGGAGTCACAACATTCTTTTTAAAAATGTAAAATATATGCAAAATTATCTTTTGGAGAAAGTAAAAGAACATGAAGAATCACTTGATGTTAACAATCCTCGAGACTTCATTGATTATTTCCTGATAAAAATGGAGAAGGTAAAGTGTGAACCTCAGCTCAGTTGTTTCATTGCTTGAGCATGTTGTGGGTCTTTAAACAGTTGTGTATTTTCCAGGGATGCTGAAAAGTTCAGGACAATATGATTAACAAGTAGTTTTTTCATAGATATGCATGAATCTCCATGAGGTATCATGGAAAACATAAAATTTCTCTCTTTCTCTCTCTCTCTCTCTCTCTCTCTCTCTCTCTCTCTCTCTCTCTCTACCCAGGGATGCTTAACCACTGAGCCATATCCCAGTTTTTTGTTGTTGTTGTTTTTTGTTGCTGTTGCTTGTTTGTTTTGTTTTTGAGACAGAGTTTCTCTAAGTTGCTTAGGGCCTAAGTTGTTAGCTTTGAATTTGTAATCCTCCTGAGTCATTAGGATTACAGGCATGTACCACCATGTGGCTAAATTGAATTTCTTGAACATATTATTTAGATAAAAAYAATTTAGCCAAGGATAAATTGACTGCAAACATAATTCTTTCAAGAGTTAACCCATAGAACATCTGTTAGACTGACTCAATAACAAGAAGAGAGGATACCAATAGCAAATGCAGAAATCAAAGTATGAACATAGCTATAGAGACACAATAATACCCAGCCAAGTTAGAATGCACAAAATATGGCTGCGCACGGAGGTGCATGCCTATAATCTGGAGGCTGAGGGAAGAGGATCAGGAATTCAAAGCCAGCCTCAGCAAAAATGAGGCACTAAGCAATCAGTGAGACCCTTTCTCTAAATAAAATACAAAATAGAACTGGGGATGCGGCTCAGTGGTCAAGTGCCCCTAAGTTCAATCCTGGTACCAAAAACAAAACATAAAACAGCATGTCATTACATGAAGATAGAGCTCATCCTGCACATGGTGTTTGGGAGCTTGGGAATGAATAGCTTATCTTAGATGGACTACCTGCATGTTCTTCATAATGAAATAGATCTTAAAATATTTGCAGTGATGGACAGAAGAGTGAATCTCAGATAGGTTGGATCATATCAATAGTTGTGTGTAATGAGAAAGAGTAGACTGATAGAATTCACCAGTATACTCATATGGTCCCACATCTTTCTTAATAGATGTTCTTGATTGTGAATTCAATATCTTTACTTCTTGCGATTGTCACTTTTTCTATCTTGACCTTGAATCAACTTTGGTAATTTGTGTTTCCTGGTGCTTTTCCATGTATCCAGATTTTCTCAGTTGTTGTTGCACAGTATTTTATGGTAATCTCACTTCACCTTTTTTATTTCTGCAAAATCAGTAGTTAAATCCCAGGTATCATTTCTGCGTTTAGTCATTGGTGTCTTCTCTTTTTTTGTTCTTGGTCAGTTGGGCTAATAAGTTTGTTTACAGTTTCTGAGAAGGGATATTTAGTTACAGTGATTGTTCAGCTCTTTTTTGTTTTTTCATGTCTTCATTTAGCCTGCTCTTATCTTCCTAGTCCAAGGTTGATTGGACTTCAATGTTTTCTGAAAAAAAAAACACACATTTTACATTTATTGAAGATTATTGGGATATGATGACTCACTTCTCTTGCTGACTTCAATGTTCTTTGTTTTTGGTTTTCAACAATTTAAATAAATATGCCTCAGAACTAATCTCTTTGCTTTTATATCCTTTGTGGAGTTTATTGGGCTTCCTGCCTGTATAGATGCATCACTTTCTTTAAGTTTGAAAGATGGTGGTCATTATGTCTTTTAATGTTTTCTGTCTCTTTTCTCTGTCTTCTCAGTATGGGTTTCCCATAATTTGAAATATGCTGCAGTGGGTGGAATTCCACTGGTCTGGTTCTATTCATTATTGTTTCCTCTTCTTTCTTTCTTCAAACTACGTAATTTATGTTGTCTTGTCTTCATATTTCCTACTGATTTTTCCACTTCTTCAAATCTGCAGTTGAACATGTCTGATAAATTTTTTGCCTATTGCATTTTTAGTTCCAGAATGTCTATCATTTCCCTTTTATCATTAGTTTCTTTTCGTTGATATTCTGAGCCTTTCATACATATATTCTCTCTCTTTTTTTTTTACTTCTTTGTACATGGTTTTCTTAAGTTCTATAAGGATATGTGAGATATTTGACATAAAAATATTTTCTAGTGAGTCCAACATGTGCATGGGTGGTTACCACCAAATTCATTCTTAAATTATTAATAAGCCATATTTTTTTCATTTTATAGTGTGTAATTTATTGTTGATTACTGGCCTTTACTATATTGTAGTCAGTTAACTCAGGAAATAAGACCTTTCTTCCTGTCCAGCAATTACTATTGTTACATGATGAAGGCTGCAGTAAGTCATTTACTTGGTGATTTTTCCAAGTAATTTTTGCAAAGTCTACATTTCATGTCAAGTGTGACCACATGACTTTTCAATTGTATCTGAGAAAGGTAAATTAGACTGATAGAGAAATCTTTAAGTTGCTGGTACCAATAAGAAGACAAAAGAAACAAAGTTAATCTGTTTATTTAAATTTCTTATTTAATGCYACTAAAATAGTGACTTGAGCCAAAAGGATTGAAGTAATGGCCAGGCACTGTGCTAGGCCATCAGTAACCTAAAGATTCAGCACCAATTTTTGAATGAATGTATTTCTATTTTCAGTTAGGGGCAAGCAAGCTGCATAGCAACATAATACGTATACATTTTCTCCAAATTGTCTGCCCYGGTACTGGGTGTAGAGAGTGTCAGCTTCTATGAGATACAAATCTAGTATAATTTTTCATGCACTTATTTGATGCTGCAGGTCTTTGCATTTCCACCATCCCCCCAAAACTTTCTTTAAGTGTATTAAAAGAGGATGACAGTTACTTTGGTAGAAGTACCAATTCCCATTTGTGACCATGTTTGTGTCATCACTAGAGTAATGACACCTTAGCAATATTAACATTTTAATCTCTGGCATGGAACATGTGCCCATTTATTTTTTCTTTAGTTTCTTTCAATATAGATTACATCATCCTGATTAATAATGATAGACTATTGGCCTGTTGCAAGTAAATATKCAAATTCACTTCAGAAGATGAAAATATTAATATTGACTTAATAATGCAGTGCTTTAGAGTAATTTTACTTTTAAGACTTACTTAAATAACTAATTCGACAAGGTCAAAAAAACAACATGAACTTAGTATTTCCRAGGCAAATACTGTCTTCCCTTAGCCAGGATATGTGTTGAGAAGGATTACCTTAGTTCRACAGTGTTGATTACAAAATGTCAGGCATAACACAGGTAATGTGAAGGTTATGAATGTACCATGCTTGCCCTGGAATTAACAAATAACATAATACTAAATTAATGATATCCTGTGTGCAATATTTAAACACCTACATTGTCAACTCAATTTCATGTGTTTTCAATCGTAAACTTTCTCTGTGGCATCTCATCACCCCTACTCTTTGGTTTATCGTATTTGGATAGTTATAGTCTCAACTTCTTGTCTTCCTGAGTTATGTCTTTTCATTTTATACATTTCTATTTATTCCTGTTTTATTCCTTAGACCATAGTTTCTGTTGCCTCGCCTCTGGATTACGATAGTGCTGGCTCATCCTGTCTTGGTGAACCCATTTCCTTTTCCTTAAAATAACTACTTAAAATTGCTGCAATGTGGGGCTGGGGTTGTGCCTCAGTGGTAGTGGACTTGCCTAGCACTTCTGAGGCACTGGGTTTGAGTCTCAGCACCACCTACAAATAAATAAAATAAAGGCCCATCAACAACTAAAAAAATACTTTAAAAATTGCTGCAATGTTTGCTCTTTCACAATTTCAACTCTTTGGAAATTTGGGGCACTATTGGCTCCATGTCAATTAATGTCAATTTTCACAGAGGAGAAGAATTGCAAACTTCTGATCAGGCTTAACATTTATCATGGGGTAGTTCACCTTCACCTTTTCTCTTAATAAAAATTTTTAAAAATGTAGTTAATAATTTTCTCAAGAAATAGAGGTTTATTTACCTCAAATGCAAGGAAAGTCATGGTTGATCAGAGTAATATTGGAGCTTCAGGATATCAAGGGCCTTCCATTCTTTACTCCATATCTAGGATAAAGGATTTTACTTTTATGATAAAACCCTGGTGTCCCAAGGTGAGAGCATACCTTCACTTTCATCTCTCTTTTTTAAGAAGAAGAAAATAGAAGGAAAGACATACACGGCCTTCTGTTTCTGTCATTTTGGGAAAGACACATGCTACATAACTAACTGCAGAGTCTCATGAATGGCAATGTTAGGCAAACACAAAACCGGGTGTAGGAAGTGAAGTTTAGATCAAGTAGTTTAGTCTCTACCACACCAGACATTACTTTCTTGTTATACTACCCTTCCCAGCATCTGTGCTAGCCAGCTTTAAAACATTCTGAATTATTTTATATTCACTATAATTGCATCTGCTAGCATTTGATGGATATCCAATCATTCCTAGGAAAAGGACAATCAAGAGTTGGCGTTTACTTATGAAAACTTGGTCATCACTGCATTTGATTTGTGGATTGCTAGTTCAGAGACAACAAGCGTAACACTGAAATATGCTCTCCTGCTCCTGCTGAAGTACCCACAGGTCACAGGTATGAACACAGATGATGAGCAAGTGAACTTAGATGTTGGGAAGKTGCTGCTTGGCCCTCCCTTGTTTGTTAACTTAGAGAAGCAAGCTTCACTGTTTGTCTCCCGTGCCACCAGTTGTAATCCAGAGGAGGAGTGAGAGAAGTGAAGACAGATGACAGTGAAAAGGCAAGCCCTTTAAAGTGGGTGGAGGGGAGAAGAAGGAGCAGTCAGCAGACCTCACCAAATTTCTGGAACACAGAGATAGATGCAGAACGGTGATTAGCTCTACAGGAGGGATGATTTTGTAATAGAACTATTCGAAGATTTTACTTACAAAAAGAAAAGCAAGGTCTGTTCTTACAATCCCCATATGGAAGCTTGTGTGGGAAAACACAGATGCCAATGAAGGGGGAGAATGAGGTTGAAGAAGAAGCTGTCCTGCCTAAGATCCTTCCAGACCTCCCCTTATCAGGTGGCTGATTTTTTTTTTTCTCTCAGAAACAGAAAGTCTTTTGAGACAAATGGAGCCTAAAAATCCATTAGCTGAAGGACCTTACATAGTGACACAGAAAGATTTGTGTGTGATGCTGACAAAGGGAGGTTTGGTCCTTCACTGACTCTGGAGAATCTAAACTCTTTTTCTCCTTCCTGCTTCCAGAAAGTAAAATGTACCCTCCAGAGAAGGAAGAACTGTGGGAAAAAGACCTCCATATTCAGTCATTTTATTTTTAAAAAAATTCTCTCTGAGCTTCCTTCACAGTGAATGAAATAAAAGCATCCACCCAAGATAGAGGGTCAGGRAATTTCAGAGAAATCTGCTATGCCATATGTGCAGGACCAGAAGAGCACACCAGAGTTCTCGGGAGTATCTAATATCTTGTTATTTAATAGAAAAAGTGTATTTCAGACTTGGATACCTTTATTTTTTTTTCCTTAGAAAATTACCAGAGAATGTGCTTCATTCAAATAACTGAAACCATGTCAGGGGAAAGCAYGGGTTCCAGGAATGGGGAAGGGCTCCCGGAGAAGAATGAGAGCATCAGGGAGGCTGTGGGGTACCAGGCCTAGGAAGCACCCTTCAGCATGGACCAGGTGGACGATGTGGGTTTGAGAGGAGAAACCAAGAACAAAGAGATGTGACTGATAGTCTGAGGTTTCTCCAAACTGGGAGATTATTCCTGGAGCACGAATCATCTCTACCTGAGCAACTTGAATAATTCTAACCCAAAAATGGTATAGAGAAAAAGGGTAAAGATCAAAAAAGTACCAACAATGTAAAATAATCATAGTTTTTATACCACAGAACAGTATGTGGGTAACACCATAATGATATAAACAATAAATACTGGTTTATGCTGCTAAAGGGAGTATGGGCAATTGTGTGTGTGTGTGTGTGTGTGTGTGTGTGTGTGTGGCGGGGGTTATGTGTGTATCTTTACCTTGATGTGTATATATACCCATTCCAGAAAATTATTAACCATTGCCCAATAATAGATAAATGAGAAACAGAGAATCATTTTTAGAGTTGTGAATATCAATTTCAGAACAAGCTGATGAACTGCTCAGTGGCTATGGTCAGGATTTGGGAGTAGGATGGGAGCACCATTGCAAATTGCTCACACACCCATAAACTACACACGCATCTATTGCTCTGTTGAAATTTATATTAAGCATCACAAATTACTTTCATATAAATTCAATATTTGTGATTTTTCTTTCAGCCAGTACTATAAATTCTTGATGTATTTGCCATTACTTTTTAATTACCTCTATTTTTACACGTTGTATAGGATGCTAATTGATAAGTCTGGTCCAGTGTATTTTAAAATCCAGCTTATGAGAGAGTGGTTTGTATCTCTATCAGCACAACTATCTATGTATACATTCCACTCTGGTCATATTTATATTCATAATGCTGTTGGGACACCTTCATCTTGATCCACATAGTACTCCATTTCTTACAAATATTTTCTTTCTGCCCCAACCACTCATTTCTTATTTATGTTTTACTAGCTAAACTCCAGGAAGAAATCCAGCGTGTGATTGGCAAACACAACAGTCCCTGCATGCAGGACAAGAGCCACATGCCCTACACAAACGCTGTGTTACATGAGATCCAGAGATACATTAATCTCAGTCCCATTGGTATACCCCATTCAGTGACCTGTGATGTTAAATTCAGAAAYTACCTCATTCCCAAGGTAAGCTTTTTCCTTTTGTGCTACATCTCAGTGCTCTCCATGTTTCCAAATTCTCAGAACTGAGTGCAAATCTCTAACGCACAAGATGAAAAAGTGCAAAAATCTTACTTTTGTCTGCTTAATAGACTGACTATGTGCTATTTCCAGTTGGAGTATACAGCTTTCTAAATGGTGTCAGTATCTGACAGTGTGAGTCTTTCAAAAAATTCAATTTCTTTAACATTGGTTTTTTATATTATTAAATGTTTACATACCCAAACAAGAGTTGGAAATTCAGATTGTCAATTTCCCAAGAGACAGTTTTTATCATGATAGCAGTAAGCCTATAGATAAATTGGGAAAGAACTGATATCTTGGATAATTCATGAATGAATATGGTTATGTTCCCCTTGTATTTTTGCTTTGTTTAATTTTCTCAGTCATATTTTACTTTTAGGGCAGTGGCTTATAAATATTTTGATAGGTTTTTCCTGTCAAATGAATATTTTTTTGTTGATGTAATGTGTTTTTAAAATGATTTTGCCTTTTCTTTCTACCTGGTATAGAAATGTGTTTGATGTTATCATTATGATGTCATTATATCTAGTAACCTTGAAAAATTTACCAGTAATAACCAATGGCTTGTAAATTCATTTGTAATTTTGGTGTTTATTACGCTCTTATCTGAGTTGATTTGATTTATTTCTTGTTTCCCAATTTTTATATTCTTAATTTCTCTTCATTACCTAATTGCACTTGGTAGGGTTTCTGGATAACAGTAAACAGAATTAATGGCAACAGGCATTCTTTTTTCATCTGATCTTTAGGAATGGGCAAAGTTTTAATATCCCATTGCTGAAAATGACATTTAATTAGGTTTTGGGAGATGTTCTTTTTCAAATTATAGAATTTTACCCTCTTAATTTTAAATCAGTGTTGGTTATGAATGTTTGTATAATTCTATGAATTTGTTTTCCTGCATCTTGGGTTTGGTTGTGTGTATCGACTACACTATTGTCAGTAAATATACAAATATGAAGTATAAACCCAGAGTTATATTTGACCTGTTACATATTTATGACTTTATTTACTTTATTCTCTTATGATCCATAATTTTTCTTTTGAAAATGTTTCTTCTCAGATTTCAGATATCAAACTAATGCTGGCTGCATAAAATTGTATGAGAAATGTTCCCCAAAATGGATCTGTTTCTTCCTTCTTGTGGCCTCTTTGTGTTTGAGATGCCAAATAACTTTTGGTTAAGTACCAGTTATTATATAGGGAACCATGCAGAATTTCAAGTGGTGTTTATGTTCTCCTTGAAGGATTTATTCCTCTCCCATAAGCAGTCAGAATGATGGAACCCTTCCTGCCCTGATTCCTTACTGAACAGCATATGAGCATAGTCCGAATCGACTGTAGCCATTACTGCCCTCTCTGAGAGTCTCCTCTATCTGGAATCTTTATTTTCCATGCTGGAAATAATACCATACATGCTAGGCAAGTACTCCACCCATGAGCAACATCCCCAACCCCCACATCTAAAATCTGAGACCAAATTTTGTCTTCACAACTTTATCATGCTTTCCCACACATGCTTTCTACGTTTTTCCAGACATTGTACATGCTATGTTACAAGTTACTCTTTTTCTTGTCTTTCCTTTTCTTTTTTTACTTGTGGAAGAATATATCCTAATTAAATTTTAAAAGAATACAGTTAAGAATGGTGTTTGCATGGGAAAAAATGCAGTGAGATCCGTTATGTTGCTATGACTAATGTTATCCTGTGGAAAAGACTGAATTGGTGACCTTAGCCGAAGATTATGGGACTTACTCTAGTGGTGAGAGATTAAGTATAAGGATTTGGACCTGATTTCACTGTTTCCAGCAAAAGACACAATCAGGATAAGATGTTTATTGGTGCCAGGTGTGGTGGCTCAAACCTGTAATCCCAGTGATGGGGGAGGCTGGGACTCGAAGATTGAAAGTTCAAGGCCAACCCCAGAAACTTAGCAAGATCCTATGCAATTCAGTGAGACCCAGTCTCAAAAAAAAAAAAAAAATTAAAGGGCTGGGGATGTGGCTCAGTTGTTAAATGCCCCTGGGTTCAATTCCCCCACCACCACTACCACCACCACCACCAAAAAAAAAAAAGATGTTTATTGGTTGATATTGGGGTCAGAAGATAAAATTAGTGTAGGTTGCTTATTTCCCTGTAAATAACAAATGAGAAATAGACTGAAGAATTGGGTAGGGATTGCTGGTCTCCCTGGTCTATTACATCACTTTGGGAAGCTGCTTGAGRGAGTTTATACCCATTCAGCCCACTGCTTAGTGGAATATAATAAAAGACTGCTCTCTTTTGGGTCTACAGAACCCCGAAGGATGGATCCATACATGCCCATCAGCATGGAACAATCTGGTATCAATGATGCAACTCTGTGTAGGTTTCTATCCCTTTTAAAAATTAGCTACTTGTTTTCTTCTGCTATAGACTGAAATCACTGATATCAGTGGAGRCAATGGTGTAAGACAGGAGTTGACAATTTTTTTTTCTATACTGGCTTAATGGTCAACATTTCAGACTCTGCAGGACATGAGAATCCTGATGCCACTTCTGAACTCTGCAGTCACAGCATGGAAGCAGTTACAAACAATCTACAAACCAACAGTCATGGCCATGTTCAAAGTTATGGAAACAAATATTAAATTCACACAAATTATACATTTCAAAAATTTTCTTTTTCACTGTCTATAACAAAACATATGGCAGGCTGCATTAGTGAACACTGTTTTCCAAAACCTATTATAAGACATCCATTTAAGCAGAACTTTCTGCAGTAATATGAATCAATTTTGTGAATCTGTGTCCTAATGGAAGAGAGTTTGCAAAAACAAGCTCTCAAAGATTTACTCTTATTTTTGCAGATTTTTTGGTTTTAGCTCTTACATTTAGATGAAAGACCAAAGTTTTCCCTTTACTTTATATGCATGTTGGAGTACTAATCATGTTTTTTTCTTTATGAATGTCTATGTGTTTGAGTAACATTTGCTGAAAATATATCCACTTTTGTATCTTAAAGAAATTTTGCCTTTTACTACATGTTCAAAAATATTCTAAGAAATAATTTTTTAAAATTCAGTGATTAATATTTATTAGGAAATCTTGCAGTACTGAGTTTTCTCCACCATTATATTTAAAAAAATAAATCTAAAAAATTCAACATGCATATTTCTATTCTAACATCTACCTACTAAACTATCTATTTACACCTTAATACTTCAATAATTTTCCTAAAACAGTAATTTTTCTCCTCCATAAGTCATTGATTGCATCCATACTTGGAAGATATTATTTATACAATAATATTATTTAATATATAGCCTATATTTAAATTATCCCAATAATTTTCAAATATTCTTTCTAGTTTTTCTTTCTACAATTCAGTTAAAGAATGGACATGTAATGTAATTATGTTTTCCATTTACTCTCTTGTAATCAGGGGTAGTTCCCTTTGCGGCACTTGTTTGTTTCCTTTCATCGTGTTCACCTTACCGGAGGAATACAGGAGAACATTCCTCAGGCTGGTTTTATGTGGTTGTTTGCCAGAGATTAGATTCTCATCATGAATTTGGAAATAAAACTACATAAGTGCCAATGAAAGTCTCACTGAATGACATGGTGAAGTGGGAACACATCATGTCACTTACTCAATATAGCTTATACTACTTTCCTCAGGAAAGAAGGTGGTATCCAACAGATCTCTCCATTGCAGAGCTTCTGCTCTTATAAGTAAATGATAAACATCTTTCTCWTGATCCTTTAAGACCATGAGAATATCCTACTTACAAAATCACTCACCTAATGTTGCATCTCACKACTAAACACTCAAGGTCACTCTGGGTGAACTGGGCTGCACAAAATAATCACACAGAGACAGAGAAATAACTTTTTCTTTGGGTCCTGTGACAGCTCCTCTGACCTTAGGGGTCCGTGGAAAAAGAGAGAGGAGCATGTGCTGAACTCTTTAATTAGGAAGAAGTCATTCAAATGAGGCAAGGGGTAGGATTACAAAGGAATTGGTGAGTGTACCTCAACCCCACAGGTAACACCTACACCTGAAAAGCCACCTTGCTAGCCGAGCTGGGACAACATATAAGTCACCACAAAATGTAGTGATTGGTCAGAGCCTCATGCTTCAGGACTGGAAGGCATGGTCATTCAGAGCAGTTCCCCACAACCTAACTCTTCTAGTTTTGATTAATATCCTTGCCTGAACTAATATATCCAGACTTGAATTATTATAAAAATGATGATATTCCTAATTTTATATCCCATTTGTTTTTGGAGTTGACTTAACTGTAATAAATAATCCCTATGCATTTTTAGATTAAAACAAATGGACTGCACGGTAGTAATGAACATTTGACAGTGTTCTGTTTGTTATTGGACTTGTAGTCATTCCAGAAGAGGTCTTTGTTAGCTACCTCAGATGGGTTTTGGCAAAGTCCTATGAAGAGAGTTCTGGACATTTCATGTGCAGATGAAGACTTTGATTAAGACAATACACATGTGAGTTGTGTGAATACTGATGTGATAAAGTAGAGCAGCAGGTGGTGACAGACACCAGTGTCCTAGCTTGATGATAAGGAGAATAGATTCAGAAGTTTAGGCACCAAAAACCCAAGTACAAAATATTTTAAAAGATATTGAGAGGACTTTAGCAAGTTCACTGTCATTATCCTCAACTAAAGCCCGTTTGTTACATTTTCTCCCTCCCTCCCCCTCCCTCCTCCTCCTCCTCCTCTTCCTCCTCCTCCTCTTCCTCCTCCTCCTCTTCCTCCTCCTTCTTCTCTCTCTCTCTCTTTGAAAATGTCACTGTTCTTCTTGGACAAGGTTTCTATAGACAAGAATATTGAGCTCAGTGATTTCCATTATATCTTTCAGCTCCAGAAAATTTTAAAATGATGTGTCTTTGTTTGCTATTTCCAGGGCACAGCCATATGGATATCACTGACATCAGTGCTCTATGACAACAAAGAATTCCCTCACCCAGAGATGTTCGACCCTCACCATTTTCTGGATGAGCATGGCAAATTTAAGAAAAGTGACTACTTCATACCTTTCTCATCAGGTAAAAGAAATTCCCTTTTATATGTGTTTCAGGCCTCAAGACAGGCTTTGGGGATCAGTTACATCTCACACAGTATCACCACGGGTGTTGGTAGATTTGTTCTTTGTACATGATCAGGAGCACTACTTCAGTGTCCATGCACTCTCCCTGTGACACATTCCCATTGGTGGAATGGAGTAGTGGGGTTTTGAGGTGTTGACCCAGGTTTTATAAATTAAGAAATCTAAAATATATTTGATTAAACTATATCTCCAGATACATTATTGAGGTACAATAGGTCTCCTTCTATATGGTAAAACTTATTTAACTTTTCTCACCCATCATGTAAAGTCATCTCACTCCAAAATGATATTGGGTGTTTTCTGCATTTTGTTGCTCACCCTCTAAACCCTCCAATCCAGGCTCAGCTATGGAAATACAAGTTTCCACAAGCACAGAACACACATCAAATGGCCTCACACCCTGTTTTGGAAGCAGAAGAATGACCAATTCATTGTAACCTGTGAGATAGGGAAGCACAGATTTCTGGGGCTGGCCAGGCTTACAAGGAAAAGCTGCCTTCAGAAATAAAATGGAATAAGCAACATTCTGTTAGCTAAATGACATTGCAGTTGCCTCAGTAGGGACATATAGAATGGACAGGAAAAAAATAGCAACACCTTTTTAAGGAAGGAATGAACCAGGTAGTCTTCTCAGGAATGTCAGAAACTGCCCCAAAACTATGGAGTCATGGGAAATTGGGGGATGTGGCAGGAACTACTGCAATGATCTCAGAGCACATTGCTCTTCCTACATTCATGATCATGTCTTGAATATTGGATCTCCACACCCACAGTATGTGTGTCCTGAGTCTCTGATCATGGAATCTTCTTCTTCAATGCCATGACTTTGATGTCTGCCTTATATCTGGCAGTACAGACACCATGGTGACCAGATCAGAGACTACTCTACTCCTCTATTACTCTACTACTTCTCATTTCAACACGTTAGACAATAAATGAGTAAATAAAAAAGTATAATTCCAGGTGATTCGTACTTCTATGAAATCATAAGTGCGATGTTGAGGAAACCCAAAGAGGGCAAGATTTTATTGCTTGAAGGAATCATAGAGAGTATTAAGAAGAAATGAAATTTCATCTGCTTCTTAGGAAAGGAAAGCTGTCTCTTATGCAAGAAGATTAACATGATACCCAGCATGAATATCATGTCMTTTGGAGATTTCTGAAAAGTATGCATAGTTAGAGATGGGGATAGAAGGTATAAAGAATGAGAAGCAAGATCATGGAACTTTATTATGGGAACAGGAAACACACCACTGTGCATGTGTTTCTAGAAAAATATACTTAGAAAATTCAAATGTTAAAGTGCTTGTTATAAGCCTATATTCAGTATATATTGTTTATAGTAAATATTTGTTTAAGATCATAAATGGAGGAGTGTGTTCATCCTTTTTCCATTACCATTAACATTATCTTAACATTAAGTCATTCAACAAATGGTCTGCATATTATTATTTTGCCAGTAAGAATCACAGTGCTTGTCACTGCTCCCAGTTACATGAGAGCATTTACCACTCTCTACCTTTCTTATTTTTCAGGAAAACGAAAGTGTATGGGAGAGTCCCTGGCCAACATGGAGCTGTTCTTATTCCTGACTACTATTTTACAGCACTTTCACCTGAAATCTCTGGTTAACCCAAAAGACCTTGATGTCACCCCAGTTGCCAATGGAATTCAATATCTGCCACCCTCATACCAACTCTGCTTCATTCCTATCTGAAGAAGAGCAGACTCCAGTTGTATTCCTATCTTCAACCACCTCTTTTGGGGCATGGGGCATTGTCTATCCACTCTCTTTCTCCTCTCACATCTCTCCAGTCCCTCAGGATTCACAGATCACACATTCTCCTTTCTGGAGAGATTTCCTGGTGACTACAGAAATAGATCTGCTCTTCCCTGTGCTACATAACAGTTGTACTGACCACCCCAAGTGCTAACACTGATCCAATGCTGAGTTATTAATAGGCTACCCTTGTAAAAGAGCAAAGTGATTGGAATATGACCCCTTAGAGCCATGCATCCCTTGCATGTTCTGAATAAAAGTCATCATTAATTTCTACATCAATTCTCAGTCTTGCCTTMTTTTTCTTTTTTATTCATTTTAGTTATACATAATATTAGGATTCATTTTGACATAAATATATAAGCACAAATAAAATTTGCTCTAATTCAGTGCCCAACACTTCCACTTTTACCCCTTCCTGCCTCCCACTCTTCTTTCTATTTATTCATAGTTTTTTTAAGTTAGTGCTTTACAGATATACATAATGGTGAAATTCACCAGGGTAGATCCATTTGTACATAGGGTAGTTTGGTCAATTTCACTCCATCATTCCTCCTGTTACTCATCCCCTCTTCTTTCCTCTAAATCCCCTTTCTTTACTTCACTATATACCTTCTATTTTCATGGATTTATATAAACAAACACCCCACTTTTCCCCATTATTTTGGCCTAGCTTCACATAAGAGAAAAAAATATGCAACACTTGAATTTCTCAGTCTGGCTTATTTCACWAAGCATGAGGCTCTCCATTTTCACCCATCTACAAAAAAATGTCAATTTTATTCTCTGTGGCTGAGTAAAATTCCATCATACAAATATACCACTTTTTTCCCATTCATCTACATGAGCATCTGAGATGGTTCCTTAGTTTGGTTACTGTAATTGGGCTGCTATAAACATTGACATTGCTGTATCATTATGATATGTTGGTTTTAGTTCTATTGGATAAATACTAAGGAGTGGTATAGCTGGGTCATGATTATTCCATGCCTAGTTTTTTGAGGACTCCATACTGCTATATTAATAGCCCAACAACAAGATATCAGTGTATACCTTTTCCCCCACATTCTTGCCAGCATTTATTATTATTTGTATTCTTTATAATTGCTATTCTAACTGGAGTAAGGTGAAATCTTAGTGCAGTTCTGATTTGCATTTCCATGATAGAGTTGTTGGAATACTTTTTGGCCATTGTGTTTCTTTTTTTCAGAGATATCTGTTTAGTTCTTTTGTCCATTTATTAATWAAATTGTCTTCTTGTTATTAAGATTTTTTAGGGGCTGGGGATGTGGCTCAAGCAGTAGCGCGCTCACCTGGAATGTGTGCGGCCTGGGTTCAATCCTCAACACCACATACAAACAAAGATGTTGTGTCTGCCAAAAATTCAAAAAATAAATATTAAAAATTCTCTCTCTCTCTCTCTCTCAAAATATTTTTTAAAAAATATTTTTTAGTTTTTTATATATTCTGGATATTAATTTCCTTTCAGAGGAATATCTGGCAAAGAATTTTCTCCCATTCTGTAGACCCTCTCTTCMTGCTCCTATTTCCCTGTGTTATGGAAAAGTATGGAAATCATAGCACTGGAGAGAGACAAGTGRCACATGGAGATGTAGAAAAGCAAGGTTCATTCAGCACTGGTGCGGCTCAGTGGAGTCTTTTACAAAGACTGAGCATAGCCCTTTGTTCTCAGTACCTTTTATATACAGTACAGACTCCCAGGGTTTAAGACTTTTTCATGCAAGTACCCTTGATGTTTCCCCCTTTCCCCAGGCTGCTCTGATACCTACCATAGTTACWGAGCGAGATGATTACAGAAGCCGAAACTAGCACGTTGCAGCTATTAACAGAGATAAAAAGGAAACATCTTAGGAAGGAGGTGCTGCTTCATTTGCCCCCTTTTAACACTCAGGATGCATATGCAGCTTTCAGAGAGCATCATTTTTACCACTTGCTGGTATCTTCTCATGAGCAATAGATGAAAGACTCTCTCTTTTTTTGACAACTATTTTTATAAGGCTTCTTATAATGTTGATTAGGAGGGGCAGAAATAGAGGAATAAGTAGACATCCAGCAAATATAACCATAATCACCCCAATTATTGTCTTGATCCCTCTTATCCAAGAGAATCAACCTCTGAAGAGGTTGTATATGTGGGTCATAGAATCCATACCCAGATTTTTTTCCAATTCTGTACAGGCACATGGACCACTCTTACCATATGATCTGTGAWCTTATTTCTATAACTTTCCCCTGTGTCATCTCTTTGTAAACAATAGTTACTCAAGTTTTCTGCAACTCCCTGGTCTAATCCAGTTTCTCAGATACATAGGTCACATGAAGAGGTAGAATCTGGCAGGGCTGTGAGGGACCAGATTAATAACAGCAAGCAATATCAATAAGTATATATACTGAGACAAAGGAAGGCTGTATGTAAACAGTAAGAAAATATTTGTAGAGAATCAAATCATTCATTTTTATTTTTACCAGGCAGTTAACTCCTTGGTCTTCAGCCATAGGTTGACAGACTAGCTTCTGGTATGGTCACAGCAGGACTTTGAGATCACTGTCTCCTTCTCTGTAGCATCAGACACAGGAATGTTTCTGGATTAAAGGGCTGTTCTCCATTTCCCTRATACTCAGTTGGGCCAGCAGGTTTGGCTCTGGAGTGGTGGATCAAAGTGTCCATTTCTGTTCCTTTGAGAGCAGTAGAGGTGGTTAAGAGTACAGTGTGGGTCCCCTTTCACATTGGTTTTAAGGGCTTCTTTTTAAGTCTCTTATCCATAATTGGTCCCCAGGTGACACACTTATGTGTTTTTGAGATGATGATCCCCTATCTTTGTAGCTTTTTATGTAAATCTAAGTCTCTTAATTATCTGGTGTTTCCCCTTAAGCTGACCAGTCGGGTGGTCACCCAAACAGGATTCTAAATGGCAAAAAATCCTATGTTTGCCTGGGGCAAGCATCTCATTTTTAAGAGGGTGGTGGGCAGCATGTAGTTTCCACTGAATTTTTAAAGCCCTTGTCACCTGTTGTACTCTCTCAGCCACAAATGCTGGTCCATTGTCTGACCCTATGGTTATAGGAATTCCATATCTGGGAATAACACCCTCAGGAGAACCTTAGTTATCTCTTTTGTCTTTTTAGTTCAGGATGGAAAAGCTTCCACCCATCCCAAGAAACTGCAGACAAAAACTGTTAAGTATTTATATCCTTGGTTTAGAGTGCTTCAGTGAAGTTCACTTCTGTATCTTCAAACAGGAACAGTCCACAGTGCAATCTGTGTTCCTGCCAATTTATTAGATCCMTGGTGAGCATTGTTTTGTAAGCAGGTCATGTAATGCTAAGAGACAGAGGAGCAGAGTGCAGGGAGACAAGCAGTGAGGTAGAACCAGCCTAGTAAGGTCCCCTAGGCAGTTTTTCCCACGTGGGTTTACAAGAGATGACTAGCATCTGGATAGGGTAGGTTCCTGCTCAGGAGGTGTAAGCCGCCTTGGAAATAAAAAGTATAAAATAATCAATAACAAATAAAGACAGAGCCAGAAATAAGATTCAAAGAGGAGTGCCTAATGGGTCTTCCAGTCCTGATAGGAGCTGGAAATGAACAGCTGAAAAAAGGCTCCAATTCTTTATGTGGGAGTACATCAAAGGCAGGGTAAGGTTTCAGTAGGAGGAGTCAGTTCAGTGCTTGCTTCTTCTTGGTTGCTTCTTCCATTTACTGCAAGGAGTCTTGCAGTAAACAGGTTGATTGGCATTTGAAATGCAAGCCATACCCATCTCTGGGAGGTTATATGGCTCCAAGGTGTCTTTCCCATCTCTGGGGCTATGCTAGAACCTTAGCAGGAGTTAGACAGGACACCACATTCTCAAATCAGCGAGGTTCCCACTGGGATTTCACCATACCAGGCTTTCATGTCTAATAGTTTCAACATCACTTTAGTCCATGCACATTTCATGGATAGCTCCCAGCATGGGTCAGGTCACCTTGTTGGTGGATCAGTCTGTAAGCTAGTTGTTCGGGAATATACACTTGATGGTCTCTTATGAACCACCATCCTGTTGTGGCCTTGGTTTCCTCCCCACACCTTTTTTTATCCATTTTTCTTCCTCAGGAGAGTACCTGAGAAAAGTGAGCATTTCTGGGCTAGCAATATTTTTAATTTTTTCAGGCA